GGGGTCGGGGTGGGGGCGGGATGAAGGAATCCTGCCCTGCTAGTTGGCGGGACGCCGGGATGGGGGAGATCCGCTGAACCCCTGCCTCGCGGTGCCTCCGTTTCCCCGCCTGTACAATGGGGACACTGGACTGTGGCCTGCTGTCACTCCACCCACCCCACCCCCACCACCAAATGCGAGCCCACCAGCCGTGCCAGGACTCCGACTCCTGGCGACCCGACGCGTGTCCCGTGTCCCGAGAAGGACCGCGCTCCATATGGCTTCCAAGGCCTTTCTGGAACAGACGCTGCGGCTCCCCAGCCCCCCAGGTGCCTTTCAATCCCTTCGTTAGTGGTAGGGCGCTTCACCCTGTGCGCCAGCCGGTAGAAGCAATTGTTTGTTACTGTCCGGGTAATAATAAATCATGACTGCACCGCGCCTGGCGCGCCCTGAGTGCCGGGCACTGAGCGAAGTGCTCTGCTCACAGCGTCCTGGCATGGGCGACCCAGTGCCCTCCCCGTGTCAACGTGCCCTGAACGGGTTACCAGTGGGCAGAGGGCAGAAGCCTTCAGCCTTCAGTCTAAGCCTGTGGGCTTGTGTCTGTGTGCGCACGTGGGCATATGTGTGCATATGTCTATATGTGCATGTATGTGTGTCTGGGTTCATATGTCTTATCTATGTCTGCACATGGGTGTCTTTGCAAGTGTGTATGCATGTGGGTTCACGTTTGTGTGCCTATGTGTCCAAGTTCATGTCTATGTATCTGTGTATTTGTGTCTGTATATATGTCTGTGTGTGTGCACACGGGTACCTGTCTGTGTCTGAGTCTGTGACGATGTGTGTGTCAGTGTGTGTGTGTGTGTCAGTCTGTGTGTGCGCATGTGTGTAGCTGTGCAGGTGCTATGTGCGTGAGTCTCAGGATGTGTGTGTGTGTTCCGTGTGCCTGTCTGTGTCTGTGTCTATATGGTCTCTGTGTGCATGTGTGTATCTGTCCCTGCACTATGTGTCTGAGTCTCGAGTCTCAGGATGTGTGTGTGTGTTCTGTGTGCCTGTCTGTTGTGTCTGTGTATATGGTCTGTGTGTACATGTGTGTGTATCTGCGCTCAGGATGTGTGTGTGTGTTCTCTGTGTCTGTGCCTGCCTGTGCATATGTTGTCTGTGTGTGTATGTGTGTAGATCTGTGCCTGTGCTGTGTGTCTGAGTCTGAGGATGTGTGCGCCTACATGCCTATGTGTGTGTCTATGGACCATCGAGGCCTGCTCCCTCTCAGACACTCACTCTCTCCCCCCCCCTCCGTAGCATCACAGGCCTCTGGATCCCACAGCCCCGTCCGCCCAGCCCCTGGCCCCTGGGGGCCGTGGAGGGATGGCCACCCAGCTGCTGCCCGAGGAGTCCCTGGTGAGTCAACATTGTCCCCCACTCTCCTCCTCATGGTGGCCCAGGCTGCCCTCCATTGAACCCCTGCCCACTCCCACCCCCCAGCCCCCCCAAACCCCGTCCCAGCACCTTTGTCCCTGCCACCTTCTCCTGGAGGAGTTTCATGGGAAACTCAAACACAAATAGGAAGGGCCTTTTTGTGGACCGCTGTCACCCAGAAGACAGCAGACATCACAGGCAAGTCTGGCCACACCCTCCTCACTGGGGCTGGCTGAGCCCCTGGGGTTCTGTGCCAGGGGTCTGGCACAGACCCACAGTTGTGGCCGACAGAGACTTGGAGACAGGTGTGTCTGGTGTGCTGAAGTGGACACTGGAGGGGGAGGGGGACCGAGTGGGTGAATGAGCGTGCAGTCAGCGGCGCTGACAAGGGCTGTGGTGGGGGTAGAGCGGGAGAACGCTCCAGACACCCCCACTACAGTGCTCCATAGGGCATGTGCTTTTTATCATCGGAAGGTCTGGTGACCCTGCTCGGAGCAGGCCTCCTGGCACCGTTTGTCCAGCAGCACACGCTCACTCCTCGTCTGTGCCCCGCTGTGGTACTCTCGCAGCCTTGCTGACGTTTCATCACGCTCTTGCACACCTAAAGGGCCCCGATGGCGTAGTGATTACGTCTTGGGCTGCTAACTATCAAGTCAGCAGTTCGAAACCACCAGCCGCTCTGCAGGAGAAAGATGGAGCTTTCTTCTCCCATCGAGTTACAGCCTTGGAAACTCACGGGGACAGTCCTGCTCTGTCCTGTGGTTGTCGGGAGTCCTTGAGTCGGTTCCGACCCACAGCAACCCTCACAGCAGAACGAAGCACTGCCTGGCCCTGCACCATCCTCACAGCCGTTCCCGCACTTGAGAATATTGTCGCAGCCAGTGGGTCAATCCGTCTCCCGGAAGGCCTTCCCCTTCTTCGCTGCCCCTCTGCTTTACCAAGCATGACGTCCTGCTCTAGAGACTGTCTCTCCTGACAGCCTGTCAAAGTATGTAAGACGAAGCCTCGCCGTCCTTGACTGTAAGGAGCGTTCTGGCTGTACTTCTTCCAAGACAGATGTGTTTGTCCTTTTAGCAGTCCATGGTTCTTTCAACATTCTTCTCCAGCACCAAAATTCACATGCTTTGATTCTACTTCTGTCTTCTTTATTCAGTGTCCAACCATCACATGCCTCTGAGGCAATACTCTGTGTGTTAGTCCGGGTTGACTAGAGAAACAAATTCATCGACACTTGTGTGTCTAAGAAAGAGCTTTATATCAAAGAGCAATTGTATATTGAGAAACCATCCCAGCTCAGCCCAGATCAAGTCGATACTAGTCCATAAGTTCCTTTCAAGACTCACAAAGCCCCACGCAATGATGCCGAATGCAGGGTGATCCAAGGCCAGTGGGTGGGATGTGGTAGGCACATCTCCAGGACTGGCTACCATCAGCTTGGCTGGAAGTGACTTGTTAACAGGAAGGCGAAGGCAGAGTGAGAGGGGACGTTCCCAGAATCCTCACGAGAAGGCCACGCCCACAAGGAGGCATCATCAGGCAGTGACCTGATAGACAGGCCAGATTCCACCTCTTCACGCTTAATACTCTCAAGTTGACACAGGATACCACACCCTGCCCTCTAGCGTCACCATGAGCCGGCGGGAACCTGACAGCAGTGAGTTTGGTTTGGTATTGCGCATTTCTTAGACCCGCCTTTCATGTGTACTGGGAAACCAGGGAAGGCAAGGGCCTCGCTTTATGGCGACATCCCCTGTGTTGTTGTGGGTCTGGCACTGAGCCCCCAGTGCGTCTGAGGTCTGCGTATCTAGCTGAGCATCTCAGAGTCTGAACTCAGGAACCGGATGCCAGCACTGGATCCCACTGCCTCCACTTTCCAGCTGGGTGCCCTTGGGGAAGTGCAGCAGCCACTGTGGGCCTCACCTATAAGATAGGGAGAGTTCTAGAATCTCCCTCTGTGTCCTGGAAAAGACTGTGCAGTGTGAATGCTACTCTACGCTGGGTCCTGTGAGAACTCCCAAGGGGCCCCGGTGGCTCAGTGGTTAAGGGCTCGCTCAGCTGTTCACCGAAAGGTTGGCAGTTTGAGCCCATCAGCCACTCATGAGTGAACCTGGTGATCCCATCCTGTAAAGAATACAGCTTGGGCAGCCCCCTCGGGACCCGCCTGCTTTGTCATGTGGGGTTGCTGTGAGTCAAAACCCAAAGCTCACGAAAGCACTAAGTATGTTCCCAGAATTCTTGGAGCCCCACACTGCCACTCAACTTCTGCCTGAAAGGTTGGGGGTTCCAACCCAACCCCTCCCCCGAGGTCCCTCAGAAGACAGCCTGGGGATCAGCTACGGAAGGTGACACCCTTGAGAAGCCTGTGGAGCAGAGTAAGTTCTGCTCTGCACACATGGGCACACAGGGGGTCCGAATCGGATCAGCAGCAGGGAGCCATCACGATGTGCCTAGTCCCTGTCTTGGCCCGTGGGCATCACCCCATGTACCCGTTTCCCAGGGATCGGCTCCAACTCGAGGCTGCTCCCCAGGTGTCAGAGCCATATTGTGCTCCACAGGGTTTTAAGTGCCTGGCTTTGGGGAACTCTGTGGCTTTTCTTCCAAGGCGGCCTCTGGGTGGACTTGACACCATCAACCTTGCATTGAGCAACCGGGTGAGTCCTCCATTTACACCACCCAGGGATGCAGCCCACTGAAGCCAGCGCCCTACCTCTCCCTTCCCTGCACCTCCCAGCCTTGCCCCTGCCCCGTGCATCCCAGGGCCTGACTGAGCAGCCCCTCTTTGCCGTTGCAGGGGTTGGTGACCTTCAGGGATGTGGCCGTGGACTTCACCCAGGAGGAGTGGCAGCAGCTGGAGCCTGCTCAGAAGGACCTGTACAAGGACGTGATGCTGGAGAATTTTCAGAACCTCAGCTCCCTGGGTAAGGTGGAGCATTCACACGTCACCGGCATGCCCCACCGCCACCTACCCTGGTTTGAAACCTCAGAAGGTCATGGGTATGTTCGGGCAGTGAATTAGGGGCTTCCTGCATCCCTTCCACATCCGATGGGGGGCTCCCTGGTGGCGGACTGGGGAAAGTGTTGCGCTGGAAACCAGAAAAGTTATTGCTTCAAGTCTCCACAGGAGCAACCTGGGGCGGTCTGCTTCGGGAAGGATTCGCAGCCTTCGAAATTCTGTGGACCCTTCTGTTCTTGGTGGGGTCACTGTGCGTAGCATTCGACTGGAGGACAGGGGGTCTTTGTTGCTTACCACCCCTGGGCTTTCTCTTTGCTCTTCCCTGGAGGAGGGCTTGTGTTCCTTACAGGGAGGACATTCGGCTTCTCTGGGCAGCACCTTTCTTCTGTTTCCTGGAATCCAGCCTCTTTTCATCTGTACCCCAGTCTCTGTCCCCAAGGATGGTTTCCCAATCCAGTTAGCTTGTTTTGTTTCCTTGCCAACTGAGTGTCCCCGCGGAAGCACTCAAGACCACGTAACGGCCCCACCATGGAGAGACCTCCAGGGCCTGCTTGTCTACTACCCCTGCCCCATCTGTGGGGTTTAGTTTGCGTCTCTCTCTAGGTGTGATCCAGGATGGCGCACACCACCATGGCTGAGTTCCCGTGGCGTATGCCATTAGTTGGAAATGAGTCACATGACCGCTCAGCCACAGGGGAATGGCTGGGAAATGTAGTCTTTCTTGTGGCAGCTGCAGCTCTGTGAGGATGGTAGGAGGAGAGGCTGGGAGAGAATGGGCGTGCCAGTGGCTGCCACAGGGAGGACTTGCCCTGCTGTCTGCCTCTGCTTGTTGTCGTTGGCTGCTGATGAACTGATTCCAACTCGTGGCCCTTCCGCGTGTCAGAGCACAACTGCCCCACGGGGTTTTCTTGGTTGAAATGTATACTGTCGTGAACACTGACAGAGCAAAGTGGTTCTCATCTCACAGTGGAGACGTGTGTTGTTGGATGCCATTGAGTGCAGTTGGTAGTTCTGAGGTGAGTCCTCCCTGGTGTTTCACCTCATAGCTTTGTCATTTGGGTAAACCTTGAGCTGCTGGCCAAGTTCAAGTCCAGGCTTGAAGGGGTGGCATTTTCTTCAGGATTCCACAAGTCTCGTCAGACAGTGAGCCTGGTCTTTTTTGTTTTTTTCATGATTTTTGAGTATTTTATCCAACTCTCTCCAGAATCTTCCCAACGTGATCCTCTCAGTGGTAGCCGGGCACCGTCTAGTTCCTCTGATCGCAGGGTCTGGGAGACGTGATCCTCTCAGTGGTAGCCGGGCACCGTCTAGTTCCTCTGATCTCAGGGTCTCGGAGACAGATGTTGCATTGTCCATTAGCCTGTTAGACTCATTGTCTCCGTGCATCTTTGATTTTCTCCACTCTGCTCCGCTCCGGATGGGAGAGATCAGTACCTTCGGTGGCTGCTCACCAAGCTAGCACGCAGGGCATTGTCTTTGTAGAATATGTCGTTTGCCTGTAATCTTTTCTTTTTTTTAATTCATTTTATTGGGAGTTCTTACAGCTCTTATAACAATTCATACATTCTGTTGTGTCCCGCACATTGGCACATATGTTATCATTCTATTTTCAAAACCTTTTCTTTCTACTTGAGCCCTTGGTATCAGCTCATTTTTTCCCCTCCGTTCCCCCACCCTCCCACCCTCACGAACCCTTGATAAATTAAAAATTATTATTATTTTCATATCTTACACCATCTGCTGTCTCCCTTCACCTGTGTTTCTACTATTCGTCACTCTGGGTGCAGGTGGTGGTGGTGGTGGTTATACATCAATCCTTATGATCGGTTCCCTTCCCCCTCCCCCCCACCTTCTCCCTACCCTCATGGTATTCCTGCTCCCATTATTGTTCCTGAAGGGTTAATCTGTCTTGGATTCCCTGTGTCGAGAGCTCTTATCTGTATCAGTATACATGCACTGGTCTAGCCAGATTTGTGAGATAGAACTGGGGTCATGATAGTGGTGGGGAGGAAGCATTAAAGAACTAGAGGAATGTTGTGTGTTTTGTCAGTTCTATACTGCACCCTGGCTGACTCGTCCCTTCCTTGTGACCCTTCTGTGAGGGGATGTCCAGTTGTCTACAGATGGTCTTTGGGTCTCCCCTCCTACCCCCCTCATTTGTATCAATATGATGGTTTGTTTGGGGTCTTCTGATGCCTGATAGCTGATCCTGTTGACACCTCGTGATCACACAGGCTGGTGTGCTTCTTCCATGTGGGCTTTGTTGTTTCCCAGCTAGATGGCTGCTTGTTTACCTTCAAGCCTTTAAGACCCCAGATGCTATATCTTTTAATGGCCGGGCACCATTAACTTTCTTCACCTCATTTGTTTATGCACCCATTTTGTCTTCAGCGATCCTGTTGGGAAGGTGGGCATCACAGCATTCCAGGTTATAGAACAAAGTGTTCTTGCGTTGAGGGAGGCTAGACTGATATCTGTCTGCTACCTTAATACTGACTGTAATCTTATGAGATCAGATCCCTAGGTTTCTTCTCACTGAGGTGGGTTTGGCTTCTTAGTGGAGTGCAAACTGTGTGCTCCACCCTATGAGCTTCAGACTTGCCAAGTGTCCCCTAGGAGACAAAATTGCCCCTGCTGAGAGCTGTTGGTTCAGCACATAGCATGCACTTCCTGTATCCCACTGCTGTCAAAATGTGTCCAACTCATAGTGACCCTATAGCACAGAGCATAACTGCCCAGAGGGTTTGCAAGGCAATCTTTATAAGAGCCTGTTGCCATGGTTTCCCCCCAAGGAGTGGATGGTGGGTTTGAACAGTCAGTTACTGGGTAAGCAGCCAGGTGCTTAGCCACTATGTCTTGTACGTGTTAAATGAATTGTTATTGTTCATTGTGACATAAATCGGTTTGTATCAATGCCTTCGTTTTCTCTTGCTGCCGTAACAAATACCACAAGTGAATGGCCTTGACAAATCAAAATGTATTCTCTCGTGGTTTAGGAAGTGAGGAGTCTTACGTTCAGGGCTCGAGAGGAAGCCCAGAATTCAGCTCTAGGACTATATTTTCTCCGTGTCAGCTTTGAGGGAACATCCTTGTTTCCTTTCAATGTCCGTGGGCTTGGTGTCCCGTCCAGGTCTTCCTGGATCTTGGTCTCAATCTTTCCCTGGGTCTAGGAGGTTCCCAGCACAAGCACCATGGGTCCAGTGGACATGTTCTGCTCCCAGTTCTTCTTTTTTGGTGGGAGTAGGTCCCTCTGATCGCCACTTGTTTAATCTCTTATATCTCAAAAGAGATTGACTCAAGGTAACAGCCTATACACCTGTGTAACCTGGGTAGACTAGAGAAACAAATTCATAAAAACATTCATGTGGATAAGAAAGAGGTTTATATACAAGAGCAATTGAATATTGAAAAACCATCCCAGCCCGGTCCAGATCAAGTCCATTAGGTCCAATATTAACCCATATGCCCGATACCAATCTATAAAGTCCTCTTCAGACTCATGAAACACATGCAATGACACCAAATGCAGGAAGATCACAGGCCAGTGGGTGGAAAGCCTTGTGGATCCAGTGGCAATGCAAGCCTCTCAGCACTGGCGTGGGTCCCCACGTGGCTCCTCTGGCTCCAAGCTCTAGGTAGCTCCATGTGTCTTGTCATGGGAATGTATCACAGGGAGTGAGCCTGTGTCCCGCCTCCAGTGAGCTATTTTTCTCCTTAGCACCTCCAAATGAGGTCATCAAGCTGCCACCTGATTGGCAGGCTAAACTCAACCCCTTCACTCTTAAGACTCTCAAATTGACAACCGATTTTGTAACTAACACAGCACCTTACCTCCGAACATGACTGCCACTACCCTGCCTCATTAGCATCACAGAGGTGAGGATTTACAACACAGGATAATTACATCTGATCGCAACATGGAGGATAATCACATCACCTTGAGACTCATGTTCCAGCCAAGCTGACAGTTTTGTGGGAACACAATTCAGCCCATAAAACTTGACCTATCTGTTGGTAATAACTATAATGGGTAATCATTGGCCTCCCATAATTTTCCAGGACATCTGACCGTCTTTCAGCCTCTCTCCCAGGTATCCGTTCACAGCCCCAGTTCTTAATGAACATTCTTTTCCCACCTGCAAACTCCAAGCTACAGCTCCTCGCCCCAGCTTCTTCCTTTGTCCACTTGGCATGCCTAAAAGCCCCTGCAAATCTAGTGCCGAAGAAAGGCCTAGTAATGACTCCTGTAAAGACTGTTGCTCACAGCCATCGAGTCGAACCCACACACAGTGTTCCCACGTAGAACTGCCCAGGGAGTGTTCCAGGCCGTCGTCTGAATGGAAGCAAATTGCCAACCCTCTGTTCCCCAGCTCTGCCCAGTGGAGTGGGCCTGACATGCCAGCCTCAAAGTTAGCAGTCCATTGTGAAGCATTTGCACCACCTAGGCCCCTTCCACAGAAGCCCTGGTGGGATGTGTGTTGGGCTGCTAACCTCAAGATCAGCAGTTCAAATTAGGAGAAAGATGAGGATCTCTGCTCCTGTAAATACTTGTTAGGTGCCATCGAGTCGGTTCCCATTCGTGGCCACCCTGTGTACAACAGAAGGAAACACCACCCGGGCTTGTGCCATCTCAGGATTGTTGTTTGAGCCCATCGATGAATGCAGCCCGTGCCAGCCCATCTCGTTGGCGGCCTTGCCCTTTTGAGTGCCTTCCTGCCTGAGGGGCTCATCTTCCGGCACTAACTCTAACGGTGTTCTGTTTCCGTTTATTAGGCTTTCCGGAACTGACAGTGTTTTGATGCGATCCAAAGGGTTTTCAGTGGCCAGTGCCTCTGATGGCTTTGTGGTTATGCATTGGGCTGCTAACGACAAGGTCGCCAGTTTGAAACCACCAGCCACTCTGCACTCTGTTCCTGTAAAGAGTGACAGTCTTGGAAACTCACAGGGGGAAGTTCTACCCTGTCCTGTAGAGTCAGTGCCTCTGAGGTGACCGCCTGTTCCCTCCTCGTGGTCCTAGAGACATAGAAGCCCACAAGAGCCGTCTGTTCGGTCCAAAGGGTTGTTGCGAGTCAGCACTGACATCAGGGCAGACATCCTTTTAAGGGTGCTTGGTGCTGATGGGTCGGCATAGCACCCCAGGGGCCGGTGCTTCTCTGTGACCCACAAGGTCACCATGATGGGAACCAGTGCTACATGGCTTTGGTTTGGCTGGCTCAGGGAGTCACCGGGGTAGTGGTGGGGGGGTCCTTTTCTTGGGTTTCCCCAGCCCCAAGCCCACCCACTAGAGCACTCCCTCTTCCCCGGCTCTAGCGCCAGGTGACACAGGCCTGTGTCCTCTTTGTCTTTCAGATTTGGGGTCCAGGAGTGAGAGTGAGGGTGCAGAGCGAGCGGCCCCCGCGGGGCTGTCCCCAGCACTGGAGTTGGAAGAACTGAGGCGGGGCCGCCTGTGGAGCTCCGCCCCCGGAGGAGCGGAAAAACTGGGAAGCCCCACAGCGCGCCCGATGGGAGAGCCGGGAGCATTGCTGGGGCACCTCGGCATTCCCGAAGGCAAGGGACCCCCGAAACGCCACCCGCAGGCCTTCAGTGATGGCCACGCAAGTTCCGATTCCCGGAAACGGCCTTGGGCCCCCGCCGGAGGGGAGGCGGCCTGTG